CGTGTTTCTTTACTATCATTTTATTATTGAAATGGCACAATTAAGTGCCTGTGGGTGGGGATCGCTAATTTCGGTCACCAACATTCTGTGATGGGGTTTAAAATTGGTCAGCCTAAACTGGCACAATGGCAGACCTTGGCTCAAAGAAACGGCTGGCTGTACCCATGTTCCGGTTGTGTAGTCTTTCGCTCCACAACAGGCTCCTGTGTGCGGCTCCTCTGGTGTGTTCTTGTGGTGGAGCAAAGAGCTAGCAACACAGTTAGTGCTTGTTATAGAATTATAATGTATTGCAAGACCTATGCATAAACATCTCGTCAACAGCAGGCCTGCCAACTCTCACGCATTCGGCGTGAGACTCGCGCAATTGAAGCTATTCTCACTCATACAGAAAAAAAACGATAAAAAAACAAGTATACTCTAGAGCATTTCAATTCGCTGAACAGTTCTAGATCTCGTCCTTACTTGCCAATGAAAACAGTTTTATGTATGTAAGTGAGTTTCGCCTAAGAAGCTGAAGGAGCAACTAACCTGATTGGCTAAAACTCCTGTCTGCAATAAGCCCGCTCGTTCCGGTTCCGTTCCGCTATACACTATTACTGCTATATAGCTACTTTAGGATGTCATATGCCATGCAAGAATAGTAACATTATAAGTCATTTTTATACAGATTGAATTTGACTGTCACCTTATAAGCAGAATAAAGGACCGAACAGTAGAGGTCATATAAATACAATTCCATGCAGGATCTAGTGATGTGTTGTTTTGAGCCATCCATATATATACATGTATGTACCTAATCCATCTAAAAGCAGAACTACAGAGTATTGCATTACATACATGTGTGTGTTTAAAAACTCACTCAAGTATGCACCAGAATGCACAATTTCAAGCTGAAAAATGCAATTTTAAGCTCCCTGGTGTGGGAGAGGGTCCCACACCCTCCCCCCTCGGTCGCTCCGCTCTCTCGCATAATCTTACTCTCAACTATAACTCAATGTTGGCAGCCCTGAAACAGCCATCTGAGGCTAGGCACATAATTTATATTTATTCATTCCTGGTATATTTATATATCTATAGGCCCTATTTATTTTTATTTATTCTGCATTTGCAGGTAGAACTATTGCTCCTAAGAAAACAAAAGCGGTCGAAGGTGCTATGATGCAAAAGGTAAGTTTGACCTAAAATAATAATAATGGAATAAATAATCCTATAAATGAAATGGGTAAAAAAAATATATCACTCATTTATAATCTAGTAGTAAGCTATGTTAGGTTACATTATTACCACGATGATATCGACCTGGGTGGGGATACGGAGATCTGTGGATTGGACTCACGATGACTTGGGAATGTGCCACAAGAAGTGGTGAAGGAAGTGGTGGTGTCATAGAACAGGGGATGAGGAGCCTTGCTTGTGACAGCCATCAGCATAAATTAGTATGCACTTTTTTTGGCAACTGTTATTGTTTCTACTACTCTGTCAAATTGGATTCCCATTTCCATGTTGCCATGGACTGCTGTTTTGTTTTGTGTAATTGTAGGTAGTCGGAATTCATAAAAAAAAGCTTAATCTTCTTTGGATTAGCACTTTTTCATAGAAATTTGAATAACACCTATTTATAGCTGCAGGTTCAAGTGTTTTTGCACCAAGTGGTGTATTCATGAAGGTTAGATGGTGTACAAGAACAATACTGAGTGAATAGATGATAAAAACCTTTTTCAAGCACATGGTTACTTTTTCTTTTCTGGCAGCAGGTCTGCTTGTCTTAGAGTAGTGGAAATACATTATTTAGACCTGTGGATTCATGGTCTGGTATTTATTGATATAATGCTAGGATTTTGAGGCGTTCTCTTAACCTCTAATTAGCATTCGATACAATAGATACAGTTCTCGTCTCCATTAGTGTGCAGTTTATATATATGCTTGCACAATCATTAATAATCATGTTTCTAGATTGGTGCACTTGCCACCTGACCTATAAATTAAGTCACTACATGGTAACCAACATGTTCATTGACTTTAGTGTTAGGTTTTAGAAACCATCGAGGAAAATACTTGCTATTAGCCTATTACATTATGTTATGACATTATAACAATTTATGACTCGACTGTGGTTGTTACGATCATGGTGTTTATTCAGATGGCATCTTTAGTAGTATGATGGTTATTACTGGTGGCACAATGTATAAAGATCAAGCCATAAATATGTGCAAATGCTAATTATATATTTGTGCGCCAGGTGGCACCTCTGTGTAAGGAACTTTCAATCAAGGAGCTCCTTGCTTTCAATGGTGTCAAAACAGGTGGTTGATTATATATGATAATTTACAATAGGATTTCCACTGCTGTGTGTTACCTGCTAGGATTCCAGGTCTAAGTACCAACTTGTTTTTACAGACGATTCAAAAAGCTATTAATAAAGGCATAGAGGCAGAGATGATGCAGAGGGCCAGAGGCAAGTCATTCGCTATGCTGGGAGCAAGCACATCGTCTGATCCAGGTTCAGCAACAACAAAATAGCAAAAGCTCCAGATAACAGCCAACACAAGTAAATTTTAACTTAATATGGTGATAATCAGACATTTAGTTTTAGCAACATATGTATGTATTATACGTTTGCCAGTATATATTTTTAATATGCACAATAGTGTAGCCATAAAAATGGCAACACATGTAATATTGTAGTATGCAAACATTGCCAAATATAATCAAGAGCGATCTTACCTAGAGTGTACAACGGGAAAACGGGAAAATTGTGCTATTTCACGGCAATATTATTCTACTTTGTCTGCGAGTCTAGAATAAGTTCATGGTATTGCGTTAGGCAGCATTCTTTGTTCTTTAAAACAAGACCAACCGCTTGTCTCTACAATATTCTTAGGCCAAGATATTGTACCGTAATCATGCCTCCCACACTGGCCTCACGATGCCTCGATACCACATATTCCCGAACCTTTGCACGGTTAACGCTTTAGGAAATTTGCTTCGTGAGTTGTTTTTTTCCCGCGATGACTTTATGAATGAACGGCGTTTCGGTTATCATCAGTAGCCTTCGGGGGGCGTCAGGCCATAATAAAAATATTGATTGTTTGCCCTCGCCCGCCCGACCCGCCAAAAAGGGGCGAACTCAAACATTTTGATTGAACTTTCCCAGTCTTGTGGGCAAACAAAAAATCTTTTAATTGTGGCCTCACCTAGGCCCTTATCTCCCATTATCTTTCCTAGCAGGGCAAGCATCCCTTAATGATGGAGCCGGCAATGTTTTCTAAATTAATTGTCTGCAACGCAGCTCAGTTACTTTGGTGTAGTACCAAATTTGGGCATGTGACATCAATTATCGGCGACGGAAAACGATAGCCAAAACTGCAAAACGTGCAAAGGTTCAGGAATAATGTGGATGCGAGGCATCGTGAGGCCTGTGGGAGGCAAGGTTTACGGCCCAATATCTCAGCCTAGGAGTATCGCAGTGACAAGCGGTTGGTCTTTTTTTAGAGAGCAAAGAATTCTGCTTAATGCAATACCATGAAATTATTATAGACTCAGTCAAAGTAGAATAATATTGCCGTAAAATAGCACTATTTCCCCGTGTTCCCATTGTACACTCTAGGTATTATTAGCTCTTGATATAATCATGATCTGTCTAAGGGCAGTATGATCATGTAGATAATGTGAAGAGAATTTACTGGTATTAAGGTAAGCGAGGCATCTGATGATGCCAGTTTGTCGTGTTGATATCCCTGCCATTATGCTAACTAGTAGGAACACGAGAAAATAAGGTCTTATTGTGTTTGTGATCTTATTATGTTCAGCTAAACTTTACAGCCATCCAATAAGATTGGAAACTCAAGGCTGTGGTAGATGTGCACTGCGTAATTATGAAATTGATCAAATATATTGATTGATCATATTTCAGCTCAAGAACATTGTAGGGAAAAAGAGTATTAACATAGCATATCAATATTATCTGAGCTATGTGGGAGAAACTTCATGATGAAATCGTACCAAAACTATTATATATGCCATCATGGTTTTAGCATTTTAATGTTATGTGCGGTGGAGTGATGGATATGAACTTGTTGTTATCGTTTTTGGTGTTATGCAATTAAAAACAAGTGGGGAGCATACAGGGCAGAAAACGAGAATAATGAAAACTTCACGTGGTTGTGAGGTAAACACACAAGAAGTGTGTGTTATTTATTTATGATAACCACGCATTTGAAACAACAGTTGGCTTTCACTACAGCAACTTAACTATAAAGGTAGCCGTGTCAAATTTTATAATCAACGTGGAGAATAAAGTCACGCAGTGGCTACGCGTCCGGAACCGGTCGCCTAGCCTCCAGGCTACGCATCTCTCTCTCTCTCTCTCTCTCTCTCTCTCTCTCTCTCTCTCTCTCTCTCTCTCTCTCTCTCTCTCTCTCTCTCTCTCTCTCTCTCTCTCTCTCTCTCTCTCTCTCTCTCTCTCACACACACCTCTAGCTCTCTCTCTCTCTCTCTCTCTCACGCACGCACGCACGCACGCACGCACACACACACACACACGGCAATCAGCAGAGCGTCCCGTTGCGCAACCATGCGTGTATATACGTGTCGCAAGATTACTGTGTGAGATGGATGTCCGGACTCGTAGCGTAGCGGCTCCTTGTCCGGAACCGGTCGCGTAGCCACGGCCATAAAGCAAACGGAATGGTCATGATAAGTTTTTTTACACTGACATTATCAGTAAGATATATTGATTGATAACCTTCATTTATTATTGTGGGCCAGTGGAAGAGATGCTTTTCTCTGCGAAAATAATTTTTTTCTTTTGGTGGCATCTATTGCAAGTTTTGTTCCAATTAATTTTGAATGGTAATATTAATGAAAACTGCTACTATTACTAGTTCTAGTGTCTTCTAACCTCACATGACCTGCTTATATTCATGTATATATATGAATGCCATAATATATAATTGACTAGAAACATGTGCTACATGTAAAGAAAACAAATAAATGTATCATTATAGTTTTATTTCCGTAAAACTAGTTTTATTCCAATTAGTTTACAGTTCACAAGTGTGTCAACTAAATCACTCAATACAGAATTTGCCCATCATAAAAACACTACTACAAAACATTCATAATAGATACTAAACCCAGTTAGCATACAATTGTCAATGTTATTCAAAAGAACCTAATTCTAATTTTTTAATACACGACAACTAAAGTTACGTTTACATTTATTACCGGTTCTACACAATGTACAACGAATGCTGCATCTTAATACAAATTAAATACAAGCATGTACGAATCATTGGAAAAACTAACCTCAAATGCTCCAAATAAATAGGCAATACATTTAGATTTCCCTGTATAAAAATTGAGAAAAATAGGTTTTGATGACTCACACCAGCTTAAAAGTTAGCTGTGTACCATTTCAAGAGAAATAGTCTGCATTCACAATGTAACAAATCTTAATCAAATGGCTCGGGGGTTAGATCACGATTGGGAGCAATTCTTTCGAGGTGCACATATAAAATAAATGAATGATAGTAATGCTATAATAACACAGAATTAATGATTACCTAGAGCAGAGTATTAGGTAGCAGGCCATCTAGACTTGTCAGCATCCTATTTTGGTACTAGACAGACAATTTTACTGCCAATGGCTTCAGTGAATAAATTGTGATATGCACAATTTTCCATCACAATTGCCTTTGGTTGTGTCATTTTTAATACCATAAAGAATATAACAAGGTCTCTTAATTTACAAAACTATGGTCAAAATATATAATACAGGGGTAGAAATTAACATTTGAACAAGGGAGTCCAACGGACCACCTGCCCTCAAAAAGCGGTAGTCCGCAGAAAAATGAGGGAGTCAGCAGTCTAAAGTTCAAAACTAAAGCATAACAACAATAACGTATGTGCTTATTTTGAAGATGCATGCGATGCACGTCTGCTAAATTTCTGGGGGCATGCCCCCGGACCTCCATAGCTGGTCTAGGACCTGCTGTGCTCACTTTGCTAGGACCTCGAAATGCGCAAAACACACAAAAAATTACCACCTCACAGACCTTTTTGGCCAGGGGAACACTGTGATTCATAGTTGAGCGATGCGATAGGGACCTTTTCATGTCCTCTCTAGTATGGTGTTTTAGGTTACAAATTGTACCATTGAGCTTAATTAGTAATTACACATACACACACACGTACACATGTAGTGGCACGGGCACACTCGCAAATGTAGACACGCTTTGCAAAGTAGGGAAAATGGCAAGAAGTAGTCCTGTATCCTGATATCTGATTTCCATCTAGTTTCGCTAGTTGTTGATTCATACATTTCACCGGGTAGGGTTGAGAAAAAAACAAGTTGGGCATGGTAGGGGAATATGATTATTGTCTCTAGTAGCATGTGTGAACTCACATCTATTGATGTACAGTGCGACAAAGTGATGTCATCTGTTAGACATAACATGGACCTCATTGTTTGGGTTGGGTGTATACATAGTAAATTTCTGTCCTTGATTTGCTTGGCATACACGCGTTGCCTCAGGCTACTGTCATTGCCAGTCTTAGCAGAATATTGCTCAGTAATCAAGTAAGGTGCTAAAATGTCTCTGAACTGTCTGCGTGAAATTCAGTGTTGGTTGGTGGTACCACGGTACTGACGTTGTTGTTAGAAAAGTGTGATTTGAGGCTGAAATTTGGACATGTCATAACATATATATAAATATAGCTCTTAACTAAAATGTTCTGGGGGACATGGCCCCGAACCATACTAGCACGCAAGTGCACTTGGCACTCGCTTTGCTATGACACCAATGTTCCGGACATTTATGACTCCGGCTTTCTCAATTATAGCTAATACTGATCTGAAGTAAACCTGTATCATGATATCATCCAATCATGTGAATATCTTAGTATCGTCAGATATTTATGTTACAATTGTGAAAAGGTTCTTTTTAATTTTTTTCACAAATATTTCAATGGTATGAAATTACATGTATGGGCGGTTATAGTAACATCTCACTACCAAGCACTTACTGATCCAGAGCATTTAAAATGACTAAATAAAAACAAACCGGTATCCAGCAGTACATGTCAAAAATGCATTTTCAAAAATGCATGTTTTACACAAATTTGTTTTCACAAAATTGACTAAACAGAACTTTACCACGTTCTTAGGCAGAGATTCTACACATCTTTACATAAAGAAAATTGCCAATAATAGCTTATCATAGCTGTGATTATTCCTCCACTGCATCACTGCATGGTTAATTTAGAGAAACGTGCCTCCACAAAATGCAAATTCTTGGAAAACTCGGTTGCAATTCACCAGTGTTGATCAATTCAGCCAATCCGTCGTAATTTAAGCAAACTGTGCGGCCTGATAAGTGCCCAGCAGTAGTGTGGTGAAGCCCATGGCCGACTCCACAAGGCTAAGAGACAGCAATCCCTTGTAGATCGCGCCATACTGATGTATTCCCTGACACGGGTCATACTGCAACACAATGATTGCACAACTCAGTCTAGTTAGCGAGAGGCTTTTATCAAAATAACCCAGGCAAGGAGAATTGAAATGACAATTGTACGTTTTGTTTAAACTGATGGTGTAATCAGGCAGTCCAGTGCACCAAATTGATGTCAAATTAAGCTTACTGATATGTCCAATAACAGAAACATATTTATTAGCCGTTAATTATTAGTTTTATGTTTCTCTGTCTCAATGATTTAGCCAATATTATAAATTGTTGCTATATTCTCTTGTTACAACCACACTAACATGACAAATGACTTCTCCTCTCCGACTTCTGTGTCCGTGGTTTCACCACAGACACCAGACAAATGTTACTTACATCAGGGTCGATACTGCAGCTGAGTGTTCTGCCCTTCCTGTTCCCATAAGTTATATAGTTTACAAGCAGCACGGCAGTGCCCATAGCAACCCCACAAGCCAGCACTGATGATAAGGCTGCGATCACGCAGATATTTTTCCTAAAAGAACCAGTGAAGTAAATTCAGTATGAATCACGATGTGTGAAACAAACATGGGAGATTCGTACAAATACTTGCCTTCTTGCCAACTACAAGATTGAGAAAATCTTTAACAAAGTTTAACAAAGCAAATCTGCTGTCATTTACCATTATGCAAGTGGCTCGGCCATGTTATTATTGTTAACTAGCACGTGATTACAGCATTTAGATGCAAGAACAGTATTAGCATGGCTTTCATTTTATCATCAATGTCATTGTTTTTAGTCAACAAACACGATTGCAACAACTCCATAAGCAAAAATTTTCAGCAATGACAGCAACTACCATAATGACAAGAATAAATAACAAGTTTTTAATTTACCCCTGATCAATAATGACCTGGGTCACTGAAAGGAAATTGAATTTGATCACAAGTAGTTCTACAATTTAAAATTGACCTAGCCTGGACAGCATTGCAACATCTTGCATGCACTACACGGCGTTAACCTCGTACCGTAAACGGCAAACATGAATCATCTCGAAATAAGTTTGTGACAGCGACTGTAATCGAACAGACTCAGCAAGAGTATAGCTGAATATTTATAAAGTTATGGCATGGTATGGTACAATATACTTGTTTATTATAGTAGAATACAGATCACTGCTAAAAATGCACGGTTAACGAGTTTAACCATATAGCAGCCTATAAGGGTCAATTTTACCAATATGGAAAAAGTACATTCGCAGTAGCGATGTATTTTTGGAATAATTTACCATACTATGTCAGGTTTTAATCATGACTGGTAGAATCAACCACTATAGCTCTGCCTTCATACGAACACACGTTTTCCAGTAGGTGGTGATGACTGAATTGCCATTGTTTTCTTACCTGCTCTTGATAGCTGCAACAATGGCAGTAACGCCAGCAAAGATTATGAATGCACTAGAGACTATGCCCTCTCCAACGCGATCATACTTGTTTCCAGCCAGGACAATAACTGCCATCACAAAGGTGATAACTCCTAAGATGATCTCAGCAATGCCAGTGACAAATAATGCCAATCTCTGCCAGCCAGTACCACGACGGAATTTCTGCTGTGTGATAGCCTCATCCGACCCAATCCTCTTCATCTCTTCATCGAGTACATGCGTAGCCATAGTTTACCTGTTTATAAGCGTAAAGATATCAGTTTAGTAATAGTATAACTTCTGCTTCAGTGCATGCCTGGATATATATATATAGGTAGGCCAGTAATCGAAAACCCTCGGTATACAGGAATTCTTACTATCACTACTAAATTAACATGAAAAGAAGTTCCAGGACAATTATATATTTTTAATGTAGACCTAGTCTTCAGTGTATAATGCAATTAAGTTTATAATATCTAGAGCTATCTTTGACCATACTCTGTACTGATAGTTTAAACGAACTGGTTGCTGCTGGTACATTTGTACAAACATTCATCAGGTGTAAATAATCGTTTTGAGATGTTATTTACACCTGATTTCATTATAGCTACACATTCATACAGTTTTAATGCCGTCTCATAATAGGAATGCTGTAGATGATCCACCCCATAATATGTTATATTGTTATATATAAGATACACAGGGTTCCCACCCTAGGAATTTTAGAAAGCATGTCGCTTGTAAACAAATGGGGAGGACCTGGGAGGGGGTTATACCAGTCGGAGTCAATTACACGACTGTATGTCGATCATAAAGCGTCAGTCACACTGGGGCCGGACTGTCCATGGATTACCGCGGATGGGGCAGGATCTCCCCGGACCGTAAAATTTATAATCCGTGGCGATCCGGGTGAAAAAATTACGAGACGGTCGAAAAAAACATCATCGGGCCGGATCGGGCCAGACCAGCACCGTAGCACTACGGATGAACACGGAACTACTACGGATGACCCCGGACCAGACCCGGCAGCGCCACGGACCATCCTGGATTGAGCCCGGATGAAGCCGGACCCAGCACAGAGTCACTACGAACCGCCCCGGACCGCCCCGGACTGCCTCGGACCGCCACGGACCTCCCCCGGATGACCTACGGACTGCCCTGTTCCCAACCGTGTTGGGTCCGACTTGATCCGTAGTGATCCGTGGCCGGCAAAAACGACATGGATGGCCACGGATGGGCCCGGTTCAACACGGTGCCACTACGGACTGTCCCGGACCTACCACGGATGCGCCACGGACCGTCCAGGACCACCCCGGATGGGGAAAACTTCCCGGACCGTCCCGAATCACCCCGGAAATTTTAAACAGTTTAAAACTTCCGGGGCGATATCCTGGAATACGCAGGACCATCAAGGACCACCCCGGACCGGGCCGGACCGTCCAGGACCCAACAAGGATCTCTCCCCGGATCAGTCCGGCAGCGTCCGGCAGCGTCCGGCCCGGTCCGGGAGCTTGGTGTGACTGTAGCGGCTCTAATATACAAGTAAATTTTATCAGCTCGGAGATTGACAGTGAAAACACAGTATGACTATGTTG